GCTCACCCTCTGCCATTGTGTTCCATGTGCTGTGCGTGAGCTCTCAGCTCCAACCCTCCTGTTCCTGGGATCTGGGGATATTTGATAAAGGCCTTTCATGGCTGCTCCTAGGCTTTTCCTGCCGAGACTTGGGCATTATCAGTGCACAATCACTTCTGCACACCACAGCAAGCCTGCTCTTTTCTGTCGCAGCCACACACCCACCTCACAGCTGTGAAAGAAGAAACACATTTACATATTGTGCTGAATGGTCTTTTGGAAGCATGAGTGGCAGGATCTGACACACCTCTCCCTCTTGCAGACAGGAAATATGCTGCAAGGATGGGCTCAGGTTTCATTAAAACACTGCTAATGCTTTGGTGTAAACCCACGAACAAAGAGAAAATCAAATTTTTAACATGTGAACACAAACGTGTTGTTTTTGAAACTGGCACCAAATATTAGCCTACATAAGCCTCAGAGAATGGTGTAATGCAAAAGCTTTCTCCTGATCAGCACTGTCAATCCCAGGCAAATCTCTCCCATCCCACATGAGCCACACTAATCAAAGCACGGCAATGTCAGGAGAGCCAATGTGAGTGACAGTATTTCAGAATTTTTAAGCCTCTCATTATTCCAAATGCACGGGTAAACATGCAAATTACCCTTTCCAGGATGTAATGTAATATACAATTCTATTAAGAACCCTTCCAAGGAGCCCTCCCTACCCCCACTTTTTTTTAAACAAAAGTAAACACAAGAGTCCCAGTCTCCCACGAGATTTCCAACACTGTCTCCACAACGCCCTTCCATCACAAGCCCTTGTATTCTACATGGTGGGGAAACCTCTGCATGCAAGTAACAGCTGACATTTTCCAACACTGCTGAGTTGGTTTTGCCTGTGAATCATGCCATTCTTAGGTCAACAGGAGGAAAATCATGCCGCCAAGTTTCCTGAGTGTAAACAAAGACCCTGTCTGGCAAAGAGCAAAGATGGATCAGAGCAGCTAGGGACCATAGAGACTTCTCATTGTAATTTCCTTTCAGCATGATTAGAAAATAATAGCCTGAGAGCATGAGGGCAGAAATACACACCCTTATCATGTCTTCCTCCTCAGAGTGGTTCTCATGGTAAAGAAATGATATCCAAGCCAGTCTCCCTTTGGTATTTAAACAATAAGATACATCCAGCCCTTGGGCATGCTTCCTCCTAAAGTTGTGTTTAGCTTGAATGGTAATAGCATGCCACAAAACCCCATAAAATCTATTTTATCATCAAACACATAAGCTATGGTCCTAAATGTTACTGTTCAGTTAGGCCTGAGCAACACAACTCTAAAATTTGTCAGCTGGTGGGTCACTGGTCTATGTGGGATTGTGGCCAGAAAACAAAATTCACAGACCTCAAACAGCCTGTTCAGCTCACTTTGGATAATTAAGATAGGAGGAATCAAAAGACATTTGAAAATAAAAGTTCAATAAAATTATGCAGTTCAAAAGCCAAACCCACTGACCTGCACCTTCTCTAGGTATCTAAGAAATTTGTATTAAACAAAGCAACAATAATAATTTAATCATACCCTTACAATTAAATTATGTACCTACAAGATATACCATGTAGGAAAATTTGTCATTGTTACTGGATTTTTTTTTATTGTGAAAATACTGTACAGAGGGGTTACAATTACATGGGCAAGATAATGAGTACATTTCTTATCAAGCATTGTAGCCTCCTCCTTTGTTTCCCCTTCTCATCCCATCCTCTCCCGGCCCCCCACCTAATCCTCCCCCCCACAGCAAAGTTGTAAAGTTCGTTTTCGATATAGCGACTTGTACATCTCATTGTTGCAATAGGTCCACCTGTATCCCTATTTAAAGATTTGTTTTTTCCCTTCCCCTCCACAAATTATACCGGCATCAAAAACAGTGAAAGCAGGGGTTATACTTTGGATTTTTAAAAGAATAAGACCAAAGAGTATAGCTTGAAGCTGAGTTGGGTGGTTCAAACTTTAATCCTGTGTCCTTTGTCTCATCATTTTGTTATTCTCCTTCCCTTCCCCAAATCAGATAAACATATATACAAGACTAGGGTACCCAAATCAAAAACAGTGACAACAGAGGATAAACCGAAGGGATAAAAATGAATGAAAAAAATAACTTCACACAGTACATTAACAAAACAAAGCAAAAAACAAAACAAAGCAAAAAAAACCTCTTGTTTCCATACCTTGGAATTCATTTCAATTAGCATCTTTTTATAGCCACATGTACTTAGCTATTGAGCTATTGTGATCCTCTGCTAGGACTATCCTAGACATAAACTAATAATTACAAATGAGGGAAACCACGGAGCCTATGTTTCTCTGAGTCTGCCTTACTTCACTTAATATGATTTTCTCCAAGTCTTTCCATTTCCTTATGAATGGGGCTATATCATTCTTTCTGATGGAAGCATAGAATTCCATTGTGTATATATACCACAGTTTCTTGATCCATTCATCGACTGAGGGGCACCTGGGCTGGTTCCAATGCAACAGCGATACAAAATACTATATTGGAAATGAACTTTACAACTTTGGGGGAGGAGAGTAGAGGATAAGGGAAAGTGGGAGATCATACCGTGCCCATTTTTAAAAAATTCATTCCTCCTGAATTTATCTGAAAGAGCTTTTTATACACAAAGAACATTAATTCTCCTCTGTGTGTGTGTGTGTGTGTGTGTGTGTGTGTGTGTGTATGTGTGTACTGAGGCTTGAACTCAGGGCCTGAATGATGTCCCTGAGCTTTTTGCTCAAGGCTGTCCCACCACTTGAACCACATCTCCACTTGCTGCTATCTGGTGGTATTTGGAGATAAGAGTCTCTCAGACTGGCTTCAAAGCTTGTTGGACTAGCTTTCAACAGGGATCTTCAGATCTCAGCCTCCGAGTAGTTAGGATAACAGGCATGAGCCACCAACACCCAGCTTATCTACTTTTCATGGTCACAATAGCTGCAATTTTTAACTAACATCAAAGCTCGATGAAAATTTTAATTAAAAGTATAGCATAATAAAATTACTTCTCCAAATCCCACTTTAGATTTTTTTTTTAGTAAAATAAAGAGCATGCTCTACAGATCCTTACAGAAAGTCATTTTAGTTCCTTTTGGGTTAATTTTTTAAAGTAATTTTTAAAATTACTGATCACTAGGGAAAGCACTTACATAGAGGTCTATTGTTAACTTCTAGAAACACTCAGAAAGATAGGTTTAACATTTATTGAGACTCGGGTATTTATGTGTCATTAGCAAGGTTTAAAAGAAGTTTATCTCCAAACCTCTAAAAACTTCAATTTGACATGTTTGTTTATCTGGCTATTTATTATTATTATTATTATTATTATTATTATTTTGTTGTTGTTGTTGGTCATGGGGCCTGAACTCTGGGCTTGTGCACTGTCCCTCAGCTATTTAGCTCAAGGCTAGCATTCTACCACTTGAGCAACAGCACCACTTCCAGCTTTTTCTGCTTATGTGGTGCTGAGGAATCGAATCCAGGGCCTCATGCATGCAAGGCAAGCACTTTTCCACTGAACCACCTTCCCAGCCCATATCTGGCTATTTATTCTGTATCACTGTATTTGAAATTAGTATTAGTTGCACTTCTTAGTGATAATTAGTTCTTAGTGATAATTTCATGTATGTCTTCTTCACTTACGAACTGTTTTATCACTGTAAAACTTCGGTACTTATTCCTATTCCTTCTATTTTACACTGCCTCCTACTGGGAAACACTTGGCATTATCTAGTATATTGGATTGATTTTATTGTCAATTTGACTGGCTTAAGAAATGCCTAGGAGATTGGTGAGTATAACTGTGGATGGTGTCTATTAGAGCCCATTCCATTCTGAGGGCTCTGACCTAAAGAGGGATCATTCTTGCTGGATCCACTTTGGAGAAGCTGTGAAAAGTAGGAGGTAGAGTTTATTTGGAAGGGGACACTGGAGGGGCAGTGAGGTGGGGGAGGGATGTTCTTTGGGGGCTATATCTTGCCCTCGTGCCTTTCTGTTTCCCTTTTCCCCTCTTTCTCGTTGCCATGCAGTGGAATGCTCTGCTCTCCACCACGATAGAAGAACCCTCTGAATCCATAGAGCAATGAAAATTGTTTTTTTTTTTTTCAGGCATATGGACAGTAATAAAAAAGCTTAACAAATACAACTCTGGACTTCTCCCACCCCCATAACTGAGGGATGCTACTGGAATCTAGGATGTAGATGAAAAGAATTTTGATCAGTATTCCAAAATGCACAACAGGGATTCTGAACACCAAACTTATCTTGGTTGCAAAGGTCACTGGTATTGAAGTTCAGCACCTTCTCTGTGCCCCTGCTAAGCCCAAACCAAATGATCAAATGATTAAACAAAGAGAGGGAGAGAGAGATGGGGAAAAGAAAAGGGAAAGAGAGAGAGGGGGGGAAAAGGGAGAGAGGGAGAGAGGGAGAAGTAGAGGCAACATAAATAGACCAATTTTAGTCTTGTGGAGCTAGGGAACTTTCAGTCAGATTTACATTTCACACGGGACTGTGGTATTTCACATGATGCTTAATTTGCTGACTCTAAACTGAAAGCCCAGAGGATCATTAATACCTTCCATGTAACATAGTGGAACTTGATTTTGCAATGTCTTACTTATCAGCTTGGCATTTTGACATGGCCTCACATATGAGACTTCCAGGTGGATAGAAAGTCACTCCAAGAGGCTCAGGAATCCTGTATCAAGCACCAGGACTGAGAGAGGAAATGCTGGCTACATTGGCCAACAGGGTGGAAGTGGGAGCCCAGGAACTGGGGTGAGAAATAACTGGATCAATCTAGTTTGGAAATAATAAATGACATCATTAGAGACAGCTACCTCAGATTCACCTGTCACAGGAGAGCTGGGCAGTAGCTGTTCTAAACACTGAAACTCTAAATGCTGAAGGGAATATATTCAAGTGGTTTATGGGGCCACAATACTCCAGACAGAACAAACAGGTCTTACCAGAGGCACTGGTGGTGGAGGAGGGGGAGGAGCCCCAGCAGGTGGGGGAGGAGCCCCAACAGGTGGGGGAGGGGGAGGCAGAGGAGGTGGTGGGGGTGGCGGTGGGGGTGGTGGCACCGGCATATGTCACAGCGTTGATGTCTCTTGCTTATGAATGGTCCCAATAGAGAGAATTTCTGCTCTGAAAAAGACAAAAGAGATAGTTTTATTTAATTACTTAATAGATTTATTAATTAATTTATTATTTGTGCCAGTATGAGCTTGAAGTCAGGGCCTGAGCACTATCCCTTAACTTTTTTTGTTCAAGGTTGGTGCTCTGCCACTTGAACTGCACACAGTTCCACTTCTGGCTTTTTGGTGGTTAGTTGGAGATAAGAGTCTCATGGACTTCCTGCTTGGTCTGGCTTCAAACCATGATATTCAGATCTCATCCTCCTGAGTAGCTAGGATTGCAAGAATGAGCCACCTGGCAAAGAGGTATAATTAAATCTCTTACTTACCTTCTGGTATTACATGTCTTAGAAAAACACACATACTGTAGACAGTTTTATTCCATTGTTAGTTCATTCACAGAGTTCTCACTGTGAGGCTGGCTAAGTGCTAGAGATTGATAAAAGTAGATAGACTCTAGAAATTACTTGGTGGTAAAATTTACAGAATTTAGCTGTCAGAACATAAAAAAATATATATATATAATACACATATATATGTACCTGTTTCCCCCCAATAACTGAATCCTATATTATTAACATTGAAATCATTTCATTGTATTCCTGAGCAGACAATGGAATTTAATCTCTCTGAATGTCACAGGTCTCATGTTATGCATGATGCCAGCCTCAAGCAAGGCTTACAAAGGGCATTAGCCACTTTCTTGCTTCCTTGTCTCCTGTCAGCTGTTTCTTTATGGTCTCATGTCTTAGTTTCTGCATACTCATCTGGATGCATGCTGGGTTTTTGAGGCATGATTCTTTAATACAGTTCTTTTCAAATTAATACTGGAGGATGTCTGATTTCCAAATAACTGTATTTCTTTGCAGGGCATATCTCTGTATGTGTTCTGATGTGGGCCACAGACCTCTTTTCAAGACGCATTGCAAGGACTGCCAGCCTGTACTAATGAAACCGAACAATTTGCAAATGTGAGGAAAAGCGATATGATAACCTAAAGACAACCTAAGTACAAACTGAAGCATCAGACTTAGGCACAGACATTTTATGTTCCTGCCAGCATGGTAGTCCCTGGATCCCAACACAGGTCTGTCCATTTTTCCTTCACATTTAACATCCAATGGCAGTTGTATTTCATGAAAACATCCTTATCTCTGCAAAGGCAGAAAACCAATTATATAACACAGTGCTTCAACATAGTCCTCTAGATTTTTTGATTATTTAATAAATCAGATCCTTTTACCTACATAGTTAGTTCTAAGTACCAGGCTAAATGCATCAATTTCCATAGTAATCCCCTAAGGCCAGTAGCAGGAACCCCCACTTTTGTAGACAAGAACAGGTTGTTTAAAATCATATACACACTTAACAATGAATTAATTTGGGATTAGAACTCAGACTTAAAGATTTAAAATCTGATATGATTTTGTGTTGTTGTGTTATCTAATGTGTTATTGTGGCAAGATATAAAATAATATAATATTTTTTACCTTAATTGTCAAGTATATCATTCAGGGGCATTAAGGGCATTCTAAGGCTGTGCAATTCTGGCCAGAACTTATTCATCATCCTAAACAGAACCTCCATATCCATAAAACTATCATTTCCTCATCCTCACCCCTGGGCACTTTGATTTTATTTTCTGTATGCATAAGCTTATCTACTAGATAATTCACTTAGGTGGAAACATGCAATATTTGTTGGCTTCAGCCTGGCTTATTTCATACCACACACTATTGTCTATGTCCATTCCTGTTGTAGTATATATAACAGAAATTCATTTCTAATTATTCCACTCCACATTTTGCTTGATCATTAATAAGCTGATGGAACCTGGATTGTTCCTTTGTTTTGGGGATACCTCTCTAAAACCTTGAATTCAGGGGCTGAGAAGGTGGCTCAGTGGTAGAGCGCTTGCCTTGCATGCCTGAAGCCCTGGGTTCAATTCCTCAGCACCACATAAGCAAAAAGAAAAAAGCCGGAAGTGGCACTCTGGCTCAAGTGGTAGAGCCCTAGCCTTGAGCTGAAGAGCTGAGGGACAGCGCCCAGGCCCAGAGTTCAGGCCCCACGACCGGACACACACACACAAAAAAAACAACCTTGAATTCAATTCTTGTGGCCTCTGTCTGTCTGTCTGTCTGTCTGTCTGTCTATCTATCTATCTATCTATCTATCTATCTATCTATCTATCTATCTATCTATCTATCTGTCTGTCCATCTGCATACTGCTGTTGGATCACATGGCATTAACCTCATTTTTTTTTTTTTAATCAGTCGTGGGGCCTGAACTCTGGGTCTGGGCGCTGTCCCTCAGCTCTTCAGCTCAAGGCTAGCGTTTTACCACTTGTGCCACAGAGCCACTTCTAGTTTTCTGGTGGTTTATTGGAGATAAGAATCTCATGCACTTTACTGCCCTGGCTGGCTTTGAGTTGTGATCCTCAGATCACAGCCTCCTGAGTAGCTAGGATTACAAGTGTAAGCCACCAGCGCCTGTCAACATTAACCTCATTTTAACAAGGTTGAGAATTCTCTAAAATTGCATAAAGTTATAAATGGTATAATATATACAATTAAGTACAACATTTAGGGGAAAAACATTTGTGAGACTTTCCCTAGGAATTCCAAGGAAGAATGTGAGCAGGTTAATAAAAATGAAATACTCCCCTGAAAGAAGAGGCCTGATAATCACAGTGTACTTCTTTTGATATTAAAACACTATCAAAAGACTTAAAAATACTCATCATGGTCAACAGGATAAAAAAAAATGTTAAAACGAACCTAGATCTCAGAGAACAATAAAGGGTAGTATAGGAACCCAAACAGAGTCCAAGTCCCTTTATTCACTAATATAAACAATATCACAGAGTCACATACAGCTAGCATATTATAGGTCTAATGTTAAAGCAACTTGAACTGGAGCCAACAACTTAACTGTTTATCAGCTGTATTTTGACAGTATATAATCTTGTATTCAGTAGCAAATGTATTTCTAGGCAAAAACTTACAGAAGGTATTAAAGTCTTGATGGAACTATTAATAGAACAAGAGAATATTGGGAAATCTCATTATGTAAAGGCTTAATTTTTCAGTAAGACAGATGAGGAGATAGACCAGCATTCCCTGGTGAAAAACTGAAATTGATTTAAAAGGAAAACCTAAAAACATACTTATATTCAAGAGTTTAGTCATTTACTTCAGGGAAAAAATGCCTGAAAGAAATAACTGTAAGGCCAGTGACAGAGCTACTCATGGTATCTCTTAGTACATTGTATGATTCCATTTTCTAACTGCCTTTGTAGGTAGGTGTAACCATGTAGCTAACATTCATGTTTTTAAAAAGTCTATTTGTTAAACAATGAAGATTTTGAAACTAATTTATTATACTCACTAATATTTATTTTTTTGTTAATGAATTTTTGTGCTGGTACTGGACTTCATGTCCTTACTTGGCATTTTTGCTCATGGTTGCCATTTTACCATTTCAGTTACACCTCCACTTCCAGCTTTTTACTAATTAATTGGAGGCAACAGTCTCATAGATTTGTCTACTAAGGCTTTCTTTGAACCTCAGATCTCAGCCTCCTGAGTACTAGAGTTACAGGTGTAAGCTACCAGTGCCCAGCACCCAGTAATAGTTTAACCTTTTTAATATAGGAACTTGAAATAATAAATACTGTAACTACAGTTGCATTCTATGAAAAGTCACTTGTGGACATTGAGTCTGATGCTTAATTTTATATGTCAACTTTACAGGAATGAGGGATTCCCACATAGAGATAGTAGAATAGCATGTCTTTCCAGCATGTCTGGAAAGCTGTTTCCAAAAGAGGTTAGCATTTGAATCAATAAAGAGAATACAAATATCCCTTAACAATGTAGATGAGCATCACCCAATCCGTTGTTTTATTTTTTTTTGTCAGTTATGGGGCCTAGGCACTGTCCCTCAGCTCTTCAGCTCAAGGTTAGTGCTCTACCACTTGAGCCACAGCACCACTTCTGGCTTTTTCTGCTTATGTGGTGTCGAGGAATTGAACCCAGGGCCTCATGTATGCAAGGCAAGCACTCTACCACTGAGCCACCTTCCTAGCCCTCATTGAATCCTTTGATGACCCTGAGCAGAACAGCTGAACTCTCAGCCAGCATTACTGTGATTCACATCTGAACGAAGCTTGTCTAATAAAACTATTTCTCCATAGAGCACACTTTGCTTTCTTGGGATTTGGAACACTATGTAGCAGTTCAGCACTGTGCTTAGAGGCTTCTTTAAAGCACAAAAGTACAAAAATTTGAAATTTGGCATTATATAAAGTATAAGGATACTTTATACAGCACTAGAGAAAAACAAGGTGGCCAAATATGGCCTTGTTCAGCCTCTGCTGGGATTGTGCATGGTGGATGACTAAATATACCATCACTATTCTTCACATGAATCAGCACTAAGGCACCTTAATAGTGATTCTATTCTCACACATAAATCTTCATGAATAGGTCAACTTGCAAATACAAGGTCTACAAGTAATGTAATTTTTGAACCCTCCGTGGGTGCATTAATTTAATTATATCGATTTCTCTCACCATTTGCATGGTAGTGCTGCTATGTTTATACATAACAGATAACCAAATTTTATCTTAGTATATAGTTTCAATTATTTTTGGACAAGCATAACTAGCTAAGCTTCAATCTTTCCCAGCCTTGTTTATACTGCACCACATTCTTTTACTATAAATTAGCAGAATTAAGATAATCTAACTTCTTTTTTATTTTAATTTTATTGTCCAGGTGATGTACATAAGTAAGGTAGTGAGTACATTTCTTGTCTAACTTGTTACCCTCTCCCTATTTTTCCTCCTCCCTCTTTACTTCCTCCCCCCCAAGTTGTACAGATCTTGTGAATATTACTGTTGCACTGGTTCCCCATTGTCCTTTGTCTCAACATTTTTTGTTCCCCTTC